TTTTTTTTTTTTTTGGTTTTTCTCCGGTACCGGGAACCGAACTCACGACCTTGCGCTTGCCAGGGAGGCGCTTTTGCCGCTGAGCTAAATCCCCAGCCCCAGATTTATTTCTTTTTAAAATAGGAATCAAGTTTAATGTTACTGATAATGAAAAGATAAATAAGCCTTCATGAGGCTGGTTTGTTGTGAAGAACAAGTTCATTATTTGCTTTTTATAGCATGAAGAGGGTCTATTTTTAGAATTTTTAAGGAATTAAATTTAGCTTTCTGGCTGATATTTCCCTTCTCTCTCTTTCTAGAAAAGACAACTGGCAGCACAGAGTTTAGCGTTTAATTTAAAAGATAAAGTTTTTTGTGAATTATTTCCTGAAGTTGTGGAGGTAAGAAAGTGAAAGTTGGAGCTGAGCTCTATCTTCCTTTACATTAAAAACATTTTCAGATTCTATTCTTTCCAAAGAGAAGATGTGTATGAGTCCCTCTGGGGGCTGCAGGGCATGGAGGGGCATCTGTGCTGGGTGTTCTGTGCCTGGGGCCAAGTACTCCCTGGTCCTGGTGTAGGAGCTGAGAACGTGGCTGCAGCTGCAGGGCGGGGGGCACTCTGCGGCACTGCATCACTCCACCCTGGCTGTGTCGCACGGGTAGTGATTTTGCCAGCTTGCTTGGTTCCTCTTCCTGTGGATTGGGGTTAGGACCCATGCCCACTTCCGGGTATCAGGACTCGGCACGTGAAACCGAGAGCTTCAGTTTTATGACAACTCTGGGGCCCAAGACCTGGAGTGCAGCTCCTAAAAGGACTGGTTTGTTCAGACCAACCTTGGTTTCTTGTGTTTTTCTCTTAGGAAATTAAACAAAAGCAGAAAGCACAAGATGAACTCAGTAGCAGGCCGCAGACTCTCCCCCTGCCAGATGTGGTTCCCGATGGGGAAACGCACCACGGCCAGAACGGGATCCAGCTTCTCAACGGGCATGCGCCTGGTGCCGGCCCGAACCTGGCAGGGCTTCAGCAGGCCAACCGGCACCATGGACTCCTGGGTGGTGCCCTGGCGAACTTGTTTGTTATAGTTGGGTTTGCAGCCTTTGCCTACACGGTCAAGTACGTGCTGAGAAGCATAGCGCAAGAGTGAGCCACAGCCCAGTCACTGCGGGGGACGAAGGCACCAGAGTTTGACTTGGGCCAGTGGGACGTGCTGCCGAGCCAGGGCAGGCTCACCAGACTCCTGGGTTTCACTTTTTAAAAACCTTAAAAGGAAAGCAAAAACCAAAACGTGTGATTTGGAGGAAACTCAAGATTCTCAGCTTCTTTTCTCACCCAGTGAAGTGTCTACCGGGGGTGGCATCGCCGATGGCGGCTCATGCTTTGGTTTTATAGCTTATCTCCTGTATTGTCTTTTGGACCTGTTTAGTAGACCTGTTTTTCATTTTATTAGAATTGGTCACTTAAAAATACAAATTCAATGCCTGTTTAGTACCCTGCGTGCATTCTTAATGGAGCTCTTGACTCCCTGCAGGCTGGAGCTGGAGGTTGGGGTGGGGCCGGCACTGCGAACACTGTCCAGGTGGTAGAGGCTGTGTTGGCTGGCCGGTGACAGCCATGGACAGGGGTCCAGGAGAGGTGGTTTGGACTCATCATAAAAATGTGTTGTTTAGAATGAAACAGATTCCTTCCAGAAAGTGCTTGTTCATTTCTCTGGCATGGTAGAAGACTGCTGTCACTCTGGCCACAAGGAGTCGCCCTTTACTTTGAGCCAGAGGCAGGGTGTCTGCCAGAGCCGGCCACATGTGCTTCAGCCTCACTCTAATCTGCTTCCTTCCAGCTCCCCGGGTGCTGTGGAGCTGCAGGTCCTGGGTCCTGCAGAGCCTTTTCTCTGAATTCTCACGCCCAGCTGGCCAGAGCCTGTCCTCCTCTTGTGCTGGAGGCAGGTAGACACCCAAGGCCCCATGGGCTGGTGCTGTGCACACTGAGGCTTCCCGCGCACTGGTCCTAGTTCTTCTGTGATGGCCCACACCGCCAGCTCACGGAAGGGGACCTGCACTGGAGGCAGACCGGGCTAGTGTCAGCCAGCCTGGTCTCAGCCTGGGGTCTGTGACTTCCTATGTGGCCCTCATCTCCTTTTTCAGCCTTTGTGTTTAATGACACCACCTGCACACATGTGGGGAAGATGCATCACAGAAAACCAACATGTGTGAGGCGCCAGATGGGTGCGGTGCCGCTGTGTCCAAGGGTGCATGCGGCCACAGGTTGCCACTGGTGCCCTCCTCATTCCAGTGTTGAGCGGAGGAGCTGGAGCACAGCTTGTGTACTCATCTCTGCTTTTGTTTTCTGGCCAGTTTATTTAAAATTGCCCTCTTGTTTACCACTTGTTATGTATTTGACCCACTCTTATGAAAACCCTTTCCTTGTTCTTTCCTTCCTGAACCCGATACCATGCTCTGTGTTAGTGCAGACACCAGTCCTCACCTGGCGGCTCAGAGCTGAGTGTCTGTGCCGAGGCCTCGCCTCCTGCGGGTCCCTGACCTTGTGTCTGTGCTGCCTGCCTGGCCAGAGGCTGCGGTCCCAGAGGTGCCTGTGTGTGGCCGAGGCCCACACGCTCTCCTGTGCTGGATGCCAGCCACTCGAGGGCATATCTGTGGCCGTTGGTGCCAGTTTCCTGAGGCTCTTGGGGCAGAGTGCTAGCAGACTTAGAGTGGACCTAACACATTTTCCGTATGTGACATCCCAACTCGTAACAGCTCCTGGTCAGTGGTGATGGACCCTGTGGTGCCCACAGTGTGTTGCCTGCACTGACCCAAATAAAAGGTGACCTTTGTCCTGTTGGACCAAGTGTGTGTGGTGGTTTTTCTGTGTTGCTTTCCCTGGGACGAGGTGTGGCTTTGGCATTCGTCATTGAAGGGTATGCTTGGGTGCCCTAGGTGCCTGCCCCTTGGGCAGGAGAAAGAATGCCTCCTGCTGTGTCCCTGGGAAATACTCCCAGGCTGGCCTTGGGGATTTTGTAATGACCCAGGGGGCAGCACAGTGTGTCCTTCGCCCTGCTGGCAGTCCCCGCCTGGCCACTTGCTCCAGGGCCTGGCTAAACCTGGGTTGGGGACTGGATGAGAAGAGCCTGCGGCCCCACCCGAGCCTCCCTTCTGTGGGGCTGGAATCTGGGGTGCCATGAGCCTAGGTGCAGGACTTGGGAGGTAGTCTGTGGGCCACTGAGGCCGGAGAGCTGGTGGCTTCTTGGAGCCTGCCCCTGCGGGACACAGAGTCCTCCTCCCGTAGCACCGTGCTGTCAAGCCTCAGAAAGGTTGGGCCACCTGGACACAGGTGGCCTAGGTAAAAAAGGTACCCCACATGTGAGGAGTGCCTGGTAGCCCTAGGCAAGGGTCTCCCTGTCGAGACCCTTGCCCACCTGCCCTGAGCCACACCCACAGGTGCACTCACATCTGGGAGTTACATGTTGGAGTTCTGGTGTGGTGCTTTGAGGTGTGGCATACTCCACCTGCACCCCATCATCTGTATCTGGCCCACTGGCTGGTACAGGAGTGCTGAAGGCGCTCCTGAAGTTGGATCCTCTGCTGTTCCTGGAGGTGACATCTAGGCCAGGAAGAGGGGTAGGCATCTCCAGGCGTCCTCCCATCCCAGCTTTGTCCTGGGCAGCTCTGCCTGTGATATGGCCTGGGGTGGGGTCTCCTCTGGGTCCAGGAGTCAGGGTGGGTCAGGAGCTTTGTTGTCTACCAGAACCCAGACTGCTGGGCCAGTGTGCCCACCTTCCTCAGTATTTCTTGGTTTTTTTTTTTTTTTTT